TTGTGGAATAATTTCTGCAGGATAGGCACCAGGTCTTCATTGTAGGTCTGGTAAAATTTAGGTGTGATGATATCTGGTCCAGGCTTATCTTTTTAGGAAAGTTTTTAATTGCTGCTTATTGCAAGTACCAAAATTGTTTGGTACTCAATACTGGTCTATTCAGGAATTCTATTTCTTCCTGATTAAGTCTAGGGAGGCTGTGTGTTTCTAAGAATTTGTCCATTTCCACCACATTTCAAGTTTATGTTCATAGAGGTTTATCAAAAAGTCGCAAAACAGTAAATGTTGGTGTGGAGTGCAAGAGGTAAGAACATTCATATGCTGCTGGTGGGACTACAAACTAGTATAACCTCTGTGGAAAGTAATATGGAGATACTTAAAGCACTAAAGTAGAACTACCATTTGATGCAGCAATCCCCTTACTGGGCATCTACGCAAAGGAAAAAAAAAAAAGATTTCTACTAAAAAGACAACTGCACTCACATGTTTATAGCAGCACAAGTCACAGTTGCAAAGATGTGGAAATAACCCAAGTGCCGATCAATACATGAGTGGATGAATAAAATGTGGTATATGTATACCATGGAGTTCTACTCAGCCACAAAACAACAATGGTGATCTAGCACCTCTTGTATTATCCTGGGTAGAGCTGGAGCCCATTCTACTAAATGAAGTATCACAAGAATGGGGAAAAAAAGCACCACAGGTAGTAACCATCAAATTGGTATGAACTGATCAACACTTAAGTGCACATATAGTGGTAACATTCATAGGGTATTGGGCAGGTGGGAGTGGGGATGAGGGGATGGGCATATTTGCACCTAATGGATGTGGCGTGCACCATCTGGGGGGTGGACACACTTGAAGCTCTGACTTGGGTGGGGCAAAGGCAATATATGTAACCTAAACATTAGTACCCCTATAATATACTGAAATAAAAAAATAAAAAAAAATAATTAACAAACTGAAAAACAAAAACAAACAAAAAGCACTCAATGTCTTATAGGCCTATGAGTAATTTTGGTTTTTTAGATCTATTTCATATATCTACTCTGTTCTATTAGTTATTAGAAATGCAGAGGTCAATTTATTTCTAGGTTCTTTTAGCCTATGGTATCATCAGTATTTCAGTTTACTGAGCAATAAATGTCCATTTTAAAAGCATTTTGAGCACCTACTGTATACCTAGTGCTATGATAGCCATTATATGTAATAGTGATTAAATGTATATGTTACTTGAGGTTACCTGGGTTTCGATCCTACCTCTTACGAGTGAATGTGTGATCTACAATAAATTAATTGAACCCTTGATTTCCTTATCTATTACATGAGGATGATCATACTTTATGATTTTATGAGTGTCACATGATGTGAAATCTATGCAGTGCTTAGCATAAAATCTCAATAAAGGTTATATAAACTAAATGATAATAATTAATATTTACAATTTAAAGGAACTCTTTCCAGTCAGAGGCACCTGTTACTGTAAATGAAACATTAATAGTTTCAGAATTAACAGTAAATTATTATTATTATTTTTTTAATTTATAAGAAACACTTAATGGATTTCTATTCCTATCTTAGGACCTCCAAACAAAGATAAATAATATAATTTACTGAGTACAGTCCATGTTAGAATGCAGTTAATTTTTATTCTCAGTGGCTTTTGAAATATCTCTTTCACTTAGCTTTGGCAATCATATTAACCTAATAACTACATAGTTTTCTTACGTAAAAGCAAAATCTAGTTTTAAAAGTGACATAAATTCCTTCAAATGTTACCTTGGCAACTATGAAATAAAAGATGAAAACTCAATACTCTTGGTTTATTTACTAAGCACTTGTTATTTTATTCAATCCATTCAACCAAAGTTAATTCAGCCCCTACCATGCAGCAGGCCCTGTTACAGGTGACAAAGAACATCTAGGAGCTGGTGTGGTACTGTCACAGAGGCCTTGATGTCCTCTGTTAAACACAAATAATTTCACAGACTGTTAACATCAAAGAAGTCCACTCTGTGGCCATGATGTATTAAGTCAAAAGCAAAACCATTTTATAATAGTGTCTGAACATAAACAAAACATGAACATTGTCTGAGCCAGTGGTCCCCACCTTTTTGGCACCAGGGGCCAGTTTCATAGAAGACAATTTTTCCACAGATGGCATGGGGGGATGGTTTTTGGATGATTCAAGCGCTTTACATTTATTACATTTGCCACCATTCCCCAACGCTAGCATCACCGCCTGAGCTCGTCTGGGGTCATCAGGCATTAGATTCTCAAAGGAGCTGCAACCTAGACCCCTCCTGTGCGCAGTTCACAGTAGGGTCCGCCTCCTATAAGAATCTAAGGTCCCCGCTAATCTGACGGGAGGCGGAGCTCAGGCGGTGATGCGGGTGACGGGGAGCTATAAGACAGATGAGGGTTCGCTCCCTCCCCTGCCCCTCAGCTCCTGCTGTGTGGCCCAGCTCCTAAGAGGCCACAGATCTTAGCCAAAATCATGACTAAACATCGCCCCTCTCCTGACTAACATGAGTGAGTGCTGCTTATTTCATAATCACAATTGAGCCTCTCTCTTTCTACAAAAGATTTATTAAGAGGCCCAATCATAGAATTATGCAAACATCCTGACAGCATCCAATCCAGAGCAAAAACTCACTTCCTGAAACCCTCCCCCAAACCACCTAACACATGCATGTCCTTTCTGACACACTCTTGGGAGACAGCCCGGCTCTCCACGGAGCACGTTCTCCTTGGCTGCAGCCTGTTTGGCTGTGCTCCTGGCAGCGTGGCTACAGGACATGCAGAAGGGGATCATCACAATGAATGGAACAGAGTTGACTGGTTACCAAATCATCTGGTTTGGGATCAGCTGCATATATTAGAAAACCCAAAATAACAGTGGCTTTAGCAAGATAGAAGTCCTTCTTTCTGATGTAACAGCACTCTAAAGAAAGAAAGTGCAGAGTTGGTGTGGTTGCTCCAAATCAGACATTCACGCTCTTCCTGTCTTTCTTTGTCACTGGCCCAGCACCAGCCTTCCAGATTGAGGGTTGGTCCCTGGTCTAGTATGATCTTGGGGATGCAGCCTAGTATCCCCATTCCAGGCAGCTGGAAAGGAGTTAATGGGGAAGGGTGATAGGAGTGTGTCTCCACCTCTGTCCACTCCCTTAAAGGAGCCTTCTGGGAAATTCTACACATCACTCCTGCTTTCAGCTCACCAGACCTAACTAGCAGAATTTAGTTGTGTAGCCACCATTATCCTCAAAGAATCCTGGGAAATGTTCTATTTTAGCTGAGCACACTGCCAGTCTGAATGAAACCAGGGGTCAGTTACTAAGGAAAGAGATGAAAAAGGATAGTGACCTGAGTTTATGACATAATTATTGATATGGTCATTAGTATCTAAAAACTAGCTCTCCCTTTTACTTCAGTGTCAATTGTGTTAATGGTGAAAAAGAAACGTCACTACCAAACAATGCATTTATAGCAGAAATGGCCTGATTCTTCAGGAAATGATGGCATGATGATATCACACAATAGGAAAATATTGCACAGCTAAAAAAGGTGAGGAAAGGATTCTTCTGTATGGAGTTTAGATGGTTAACAAGGGACACTCTGGAAATGTCACGTCTGCAGTCAGCAATGCAAGCTATTTGAAACAGGACTGTAATATATAATAACAGGGCTCACCTGTTGCCTTCATCATTCTAAAAAAGTTTTGAATTCTTGCATGCTTATCTGTCACATAAGCAGAGATTCCCAACTTATGAAATCAGTTATAACAGTATTTACTTTTTAATCTCATATTACAAATATACATTAGAACATTTTTTGTCGGAATCCCTAGTAGTTCCCTAGCAGTTTCTTCATTGATTTCGGTATTAATGATAATAAAAATACTTAAGCTATTCTGGGTCATCATGAAATGTCAAATACTGTTCCATGTGGTTTACAGGTAATATCGTATTTAAACCTCAGAAGAACTCTATGATTGCGCGACTGTTACTATCATCATTTCCCTTTTTAGAGATGAGAAAACTGGAGGCACAAAATATTTTCATAATTGGCTGGTTGGTTAGAGGAAGAGCTGCACTGAATCCCAGTAGCCTCAAACTCAGATCCTGCAGCCTTGACCACCTCACTCTACTCTCACTATAGCACATAGCAAAGGACGGCACGGGGTCTTAGACTGTTCGAGTCTAAGAAAGGGTAGGGAAAAACAAACCGCTCAAGAGATCATTTTCTTGCAAAACTGACGATGGAAAACTGATGCAATCAATTGTCGAAATCACAGAGCAAATCAGTTTACTTGGGCAATCATCTTCTTGTGTAGTTTGGGTTTTTAAACCTACAATGGAAGTAATACATGATCTTTGTGCCTATATTGGAACATACAGGTAAGGAATTAATTCCTCAGCCAAAAGATTACCATTTTTTATATACTTCCAGAATTTCTCCATATGTATATATCTATAGGTATATATTTATACATATATATAAAGATCATCATAAATATGTTAGTAAAAGAGGATTATACACGAGTTTAATTTTTTACATAAGAAGTGTCATAAACTTCTTTAATGTCAATAAATATACATCTATATAACTTTATTTCCTTGTTTTACTCTTGAAAATAATAGATTTTTTAAAAAATGTAGACTTGCTCTTAACCGTTCTTTTTTCTTTCCTGCTGCGTGTGCATTATCCCCAAAACTCTATGAATGCAGAAATAAAGACACATTTAATTTTTCCCAGGAAAATCCCATGGAAACTAATAATTTTATACAGATTGCAATATTGTTAATTGTGACTTGTAGTTTTGTGTGTTGACCCATAACAAATGATTGTGATATATAATACTTATTCAGACGCTAGCACTACCTTGAAAAATTCAGTAACAATTACATGAACAAACACATAATTATACTTTTGGTTCTATAGCACACTTTTTAGCAGAGTGAAGTGAGATTGTTTTCACTATACATAAGAAGTATTACCAGGATTCGTATAGTAGGCATCAAAATGAGTAGTTATTAGGAGCATTTGCCCTTAACCACATATGTAGATGAAGTACCCATTGACTTATCAGGATAAAGAAGGGTTGTTGCTCCAAGTTCTTGAAATTGTTCCTTCTTGTCTCAGCCTAGCATGCAGAATGCTGAATAGAAAGAATTCCACATTTACATGGGGTTAGTTTCTACTCACACATGAGTTCCAGAAGGCTGTGACATAGTAATGGGTGCTGCATTGTGACGTGGCTGTGATGACATCCAGGCTACGCTGTGATGCACCATAAAATGCCCCAAATGGTTCGTCTTAATAAGAAGTAGGAGCAAAGTTCATGGCTTTAAAATATTGAAGAGGATTACTTCACTGGCTCTATGAGTAGCTCGATTTATAAGGGTCACTTAGTTCTCCAATGTGATTGATATAGTGTAACTATCAAAATGATTACTCAGGATAGTTAGTATTTATTGAGCACTCACCATACACTAGGATCTGTAGCACTTGTCTATGTGTCCTATCTCACTTGATCTGCTTAAGAGCAGGTAGGTATCTATATTCTTATTTTCACACGAGAAACCTGAACCTTTCAAATATTAAGTAAGTTGGCATGTAGTGGAATCTGTACATGAAAACCCAAATTGGTTTGAATCTAAAACTCATCCTAAGCCCTAAGCTATGCCGCCCCATGATCTAGATTATATGCCACATCAGTGTAAATTATCACCCTCAAAATTTCCAATTAGAAAAAGATTAAGCAATTCCCAATGTAAAGAGCCTACTTTCCCTTCAAAGAGAAAGTGAAACATTCCTGATGACAGATATGTAGAACTTGCACTCACCTATATAAGAAGAAATAAGAAAATGCTTGATCTAGCCACAATGCATACATCATATTTCAAAACATCATGCTATATACCATAAATATATAACATTTGTACTTGTCAGTTAAAATATTAAAATAAAATTATCAGAAAAAGAACACAGGAAGAGCAGGGCTTGAACAAAAAAGAAACCTATGAGAATAGAAGGGAGACCAACTGCCTGAGCGCCAAACAAAATCTCCACCAGAATCTTTTGAAATTTGTCGGCAAGTCTCTGAATCTTTCTGAATCACAATTGCCTCACCCGCCAAAAACGATGGCAGCACAGTCCCCTATGTCCCCTTGGAATGGGCGGTGCCAACGTTCTAGCCCTATTTCCCACTCAGTCACACTTTGACATCAGGTCTTTTATCCATCTGCATTTTCTCCAGGGAAGACCTCAAGAGGCCTGTCCGTCTTTCCACAGGGCTTTCCATTATACACGTCCAGAATTACACTGCGCCTGTGTTTCCCATGGCACTCTGACCCCTTCTTGTCATCTAATCTATTACGAGGACTTATCTATGTATCTGGCCCACACCACTGAGCCCCTGGAAAACTGGGAGCCGGTCATTTCCCTCCCTCTTTACTTTACATTTCCCTCCCTCTTTACTTTACATTTCCCCCCATCCATAAAAAAGAAAACAGGTGGCTTACCCAAAATATACCCTCAAAAAATGTGGAATAGAGAGCATGATTCATGACTTTTTATTTCACCCTACTAAATGTATGATATTATTAATTCTTAGATTACTCGCCGTGATATACCATTAAAAAGTAAGCTTTTACAAAAGTTTCCCAGAATTAGGACACGTGCACTGTGACCCATATTCCTAAAAAGGCTGTTTTACTGGAACAATCGTGGAAGAGATATGTATCTCCGGGACAAGGAAACGCAACAATGCTGTTTTCTCTTCCTTAAGGCAAGAAAAACTCAGGTCTGGTGTTGTCACTCCATCCAAGTCAGTCCAACTAAGCAGGTCCTTCCCTCCTCTTCATTTTATCTACTGTCATGATTATGTCCCTATTGGGTTCCACATGAACCCTCAACGCTGACCCTTTTATCTTGTGGTTTGAGAGGCACAGGCTCTTGGAAACTCCATCCAAATGCCTGTATGCCACCAGTAGAGGTTATTCCTGGAGGCCAAACATGGCTCTCCCCAGAAACCCTCTTTTTGAAAATCAGCTTACTCCTAAATTCCTTCCTCAGAGCAGAGAGAAGCACATGTCAGCGTCAGATGAGTTGAGATTCAAATCCCCCTGGCTCCGGCGTTATCAGCTGTGCAAATTCCTTCTCTTTTTGAAGCTGCCTTTTATCCTGCCTGTAAAGTGGGGAAATGTTACCAGCTAGCAAGACTATTGAGTGAGACTGCGCAGGTGGAATTTTAAGTGCATAGTTTGACATAGAGTGTGATCATACATGAAACAGTTTATTCATTCATTCATTTATTTGTTTGTTTATTTATTTTTATTAGGAGGCGCTCTCTCATCATTTAATGAACTTCATTGCTAAAGATACCAGGCTGCCATTGCTCGGTCCCTCTTAGTCTTAAAGTACTTTGACATGTTACGATGTCACTCTTCTATTTAGCCCTGTCTGCTGCAGCGTTAAGATCCACCAAAGAGTCTGTCATATATGGCTTGTATCATTTTTAGGTATGTCCCTTCTATGCCTATTTTCTTAAAGTGTGTACCATGGAAAGGGTGGTTGAATTTTGTCAAAAAGCCATATTGACAGGACCCATAGGCAACAACATCATACTGAAAAATGGAAAGGAAAAACTGAAAGCATTTCCACTTAAGACTGGAACACCACACAAGGCTTGCCCAACTATCTCCACTTCTTCTATTCCAACATATTGCTGGAAGGTCCTTGCTATTTAGCAATCAAGACAGGAAATGTGGAATTAAAGGTATCCAAAATAGGAGGCAGAAAGTATAAAACTTTCCACTTTTGCTGATGAAATATGATATTATACTTAGAAAACCCCAAAGATTTCAACCCAGTGAAACTCCTGGAACTAGATCAACTGATTAGTTTTAATAAGTCTCAGGATAAACAAAAATCAATACCACAGAAATCAGTAGGGCATTCATATATGCAACAACCAAAATCAATTTAGAACCAAATCAAAGACCTCCAATTCTTTTCACAATAGCAAACAAGGGGAAAATTAAAAGTACCTAGGGAATATATTTTAATCAAGGGAGGTAAAAAGACCTCTACAGGGAGAACTATGAATTACCTGAGAAGGAATAGCAGAAGGATGTGAACAGGATGGAAATCCCATTTCGCTTGCTCGTGGATCGGCAGACCTCAAATCCATTAAAATGTTTCATACTTACCAAACTGATCTACAGATCTCAATTGCAATACCTACTTAAAAATTCCCCATCAGCATTCTCCACAGATATAGAAAAAAATTAATTTTACGGCTTTGTTATGGAACCAAAAAGATCCTGAATATCAAGGCAAAGAGCCAATATTCTAGGCAACAAAAACAAAATGGGAGGCATTATATGCCAGATATCAAAACTATATACCAAAGCTGTAGTAATTAAAATCAATCTGGTATTGGCACAAAAAAATTAGGAATATTGACCAGTTGGAACAAGCTCTTGAGGGATCACTGATTATTAAAAAACATTCCTTTCATATAGCACATCTAATCTTTTGGACCCAAAGAGACAAAAAAACATACGCTGGGAAAAAGAAAGCCCTTTTCAATTAAATGGTGCTGGGGAAAAACTGGATAAGCACCTGTGGGAAGGCTAAAAGGCAAGGCGACCCACACCTTTCCCTCTCCACAAAATCAAAAACCTCCACGCTGGATAAACAACTTAAAACCTTAAGTATGAAAACTAAATTTAGGAATTTCTAGAGAAATGTTGGAAACAAACTTTCTCCTAAAACAATCGGCCTGGGCAAGAGTTTATTGAAAGAAGTCCCAAAAAGGCAATCAAAAGCCAGCCAAACAAATTTAAAAATAAAATGGGACATGATCAAACTACAAAGCTTTCTTGCACAGCCCAAAAGAAACAGTTCATGGAAAAATAAACAGACCAAAACCTACCAGAATGGGAGAAATTTTGCATTCCTAACGTAATCGATAAAGAACTGAGTAACTAGAAATAACTACTTAAGAACCTCATGAAAAATCAGTGAAGAAAAAAAATCAAAATAAAAAAACCCTACTTAAAAAGTGGGCAAAGGATTTGAACCAGGAAACTTTTCTAAACGAAAGGACAGGAAGAATTGGCCCAAACAAACATATGAAAATGCTTTTCATCATCTCTAATCATCAGGGAAATGGCCAAAAATCAAAAACTAACCAAATGCAGGATATCCACTTAAACTCCAGTTGAGAATGGCCTTATCAAAAAGTCTTCCAATAACAAATGCTGGGCGGGATGTGGACAAGAGAGGGAGGGAACACTCCTTAACAACTTGGCTGGTGGACTGCAAAAAACTAGTTGGCTACCTTTCTTTTTTGTGGAAAGCAATACTGGGAGATACCCTTAATCGATACAAAAGTTGAAATTCTTTTAAACATTTGATCCAGGCCAAAATCCCATTGCTTTTGAGCATCTAACCCAAAAAGAATCCAATGAACCCACTCTACAAAAAGACACCTGCGTCGAATGTTTTATTAGGCAAGCACAATTCATAATCGCAAGGGCTGTGGGAAACAAGCCAAGTGGCCCATCAAATCCAAGAATGGATTTTAACAAATGTGGTCTATGTATCCATGGAGTTATATTCAGCCTAAGAAAAAACAATGGTGAATATAGGGGCACATCTTATATTTTCCTGGTAGAGGGCTGAAAAAAAACCCTATACTACTAAAGTTTTTGAAGTTTTCCCAAAGGAATGGAAAAAAACAAGCAACCACATAAACTTCCCCAGGCAAAACTGGTATTAACTGAGTAGCAACCTAAAGTGGACAATCATAGGTTTTACTACCAGTAATGGGGTATTGGGGAGGGGGGAGGAGGATAAGGTGGGGTATTTATAACAACATTTAATGATGGAAGATGTGGCACCATTTTTCTGGGGGATGGGGTTCATGGTGAAAAACTTCAGACTTGTGGGGGAGGGGAGAAGGGGGGCAATTCATTTGAAACCCTAAAAATTTTACCCCCATAATGCCGAATAAAAAAAGGCAAATATAAAAAAAAAATAAAAAATTTTAGTTATGTTGTAAAAAAAAAAAAAATCAAAATCCAACCAAAAGGTGGACGGTGGGTCGTGCGATAAGCTGCAAACGGCTTGGGATCCCGGCCCCGCCAGGTGCCAGGGCCTGGCTCCACTCCGCGCCCCCGCGCCGGCGGCGCTTGTCCGGTCTGCGCCCCCTCGGGGCGCCGGCTCGGCGCTGCGGGGGGCGGGGCGTTGTGGCCCGCGGGGTTCCGGGCCCGGGACTCGGCGGCCCG